CTGAAGTCGGACGCTTAACCGACTGCGCCACCCAGGGGCCCCTCGAGTTGTCTTTTATAAACAACTTATGATGTCTTAAGCCAGACTGCCATCTTTGGTTATAGAAAGAAGTGTCCATGGCCTAATTTCCTTGTAGAAAACCAAATGACATTCAGGTTTCTAGATAGGAAAAGGGCAATGTGGCCAATAATTTATAGCTCTTCAAATCATTTCTAAAATGGTGATTTAATAAGTTAACTAGTATTGGTGTACCTGGATGGTTTAGTCCCTACTGGAAGAATGATCTCCAGATTGTAAGTTCAAATCCCACATTGGGTATAGAGATACCTTAAATAAATAAACTTTAAGGAAAAAAAAATGAACTAGCATTGGATAATTTAAAGGTTTTCTGGCACTGAAAATTTCAAGTACATTATTGAAATTGAGAGTACTAATCTCCCAGTCCCTTTAACTGATCAGTTAAGAATTCCCTAAAACATATTAGTGTTCAGATTAAAATACTGTTTGGGTTAAATCCTACCTTTTAAAATAGTTGTAATATTTTGAAATATTTGGTTTAATGTCATTAGTTGCTAAGGTGAGTCTTACTCTCGTGCCAAAGAGCAACATTATAAAAGAGTCTATAACTCTTAATAACTACAACTCAAAACACATTTAATCAGAGGGAAGACTGGATGAAATAAATTTTTTCATGTAGACAGGTGGTAGAAAATTTCACCAAAATTTGATAAATTCTTTTTATCATATCTTGGTTATTCTGAATGATAAAAACACTTAGATTAGTTTAAATATTATAACATATTAAAGCCCTTCCTCAATGAATGCGGAGCCCCAGTGCCTTCCTCTTTGACCTGAACTTGTATCCCCACAAGTTTTTTTTTGTCTGTTAACAGATTGGGCTTTTTTCCACTGTGCTATCTCTATCATTTACCTCACTAAGCTATGTGGTCTCACAAATAATGATGGTGAATTTTCTTCTGAGATCTTAAGATTTAAGAGCTAGTGTTAACCTCAGGAAGACTAGGCAGAGCGTTTAAGTACAGTTGTAGTAAAATAACGTGATGGTACGTAGAGAACTCGGCAGAACGTGGGAGTTAGGTTTGGCCTAATCAACCTTTTTAATATTATTTGGAAAACATGTTATACCTCTTCTTTCCTTTAACGATGGGGGTCTCAGTTTGAAGAATATCATTTAGGGGTGGGGAGCCTTTTTTTTGGGGGGGGGGCTTATTTATTGTTGAAATGTAAAATGCTGTGTTGAAATCTATCACTTTCACTTTCTAGGACAGCCACATTCCGGGCTACTGCAGTCGGGGCTCATAAGCTGCTATGTGACCTATCTCACTTTCTCAGCTCTCTCCAGCAAACCTGTAGAAGTAGGTAAGCCAGCTGGACTCTTAGGGAGCAGGTGTTTGTGGTATTAATATTTTCATTGTGGAGGAAGGGATATGTCTCTACTGAACTGTTGTTTAGAATGTCAAAGATGCAATAAATCGAAATAGAGAGATCTAGATTTTTCTCTAAATAAAGTCCTTAACGTGGGATGTGAAAATGAAAATTCCTTCTTCTGAGTCTTCCTGCTGTGTAGGAAAGACGGAAACAAAGATGGGCTGTTGAGTTTGCTTTTGGGCCTAATCTGTGTTTTCGAAGAACTTTTGTGTTTTGCTTATTTTTTTTAAATTGGTTATTAATTAATTTTCTTTAAGTGGTGGTCATCTCTCTATCAGAGAGACTGGGAAGAACATGGGAATGGGAAGCAGGAGACAGGATTTGACTTGCCTCTATCATATGCTGGCTGTGTGACTTCAAATCGCTCATCTTAAATAATGTTTATTTTTAGAGACAACAAAACATGTGTGAACTTTGGAGTCGGACCGCCTGGCTTTATAGCCTGGTTCTGCCCCTCCAGTAACTTGTAGAAAGTTATTTATCTCTCTCTGCCTAGATACCTTGTCTTTAAAATAAGGATTTTAATTATTATTTTAACAAGGTAATTAAGATTCTTATTTTATAGGATTGTTTTTAAAGAATTCAAAGAGAGAGAGAGAGAGAGAGAGAGTGTGTGTGTGTGTGTGTGTTCCTGGCATGTAATAGGTGCTCCATAAGGGTTAGCTGTTATTACAGAGTAGTTGAAATGATTACTGAAGAACTCTAAGAGTCCTATTATGTTATAAATTGTTATAATAATGAGCACCTGAAACTTGCCAGTAAAAGACCAAAAGACCATTCCATCTTTTGATTTCTGAGCTCATTTTATTTCATCATCTGTTTCACTTTTGTGGTATATAAATGTGGATATAAATGTATACACACATATATACACATAATTATATATAAATGTGTGTGGGGGTACATTTTGTCTTGTATAAATAAGGTTAAATAAATATACTGTCTTTAGGAAATTGAAGTTGTTTTCCTTTTTTAAATGTAGAAAAAATGCAGGGGCGCCTGGGTGGCGCAGTCGGTTAAGCGTCCGACTTCAGCCAGGTCACGATCTCGCGGTCCGTGAGTTCGAGCCCCGCGTCAGGCTCTAGGCTGATGGCTCAGAGCCTGGAGCCTGTTTCCGATTCTGTGTCTCCCTCTCTCTCTGCCCCTCCCCCGTTCATGCTCTGTCTCTCTCTGTCCCAAAAATAAAAAACGTTGAAAAAAAAAATTTAAATGTAGAAAAAATGCAAAGATAATTTTGAAAGTTTTATATACACATACTGTGTGAGTCTTGTCTTTATGGCTACTTTTGGTGCAAAATGATACAGTTGTAGGTCTTATATTAATTATAGTCTATCCTGGCTTCAGTTTTTTTAATAGCTCTATCTTGACTCTACTTAAAAAAATTTTTTTTAATGTTTATTTATTTTTGAGAGAGAGGGGAGGGGTAGAGAGAGAAGGAGACGCAGGATCCAGAGGAGGCTCCAGGCTCTGAGCTGTCAGCACAGACATGGGGCTCGAATCCGTGAACCATGATGAGATCATGAACTGGGCTGAAGTCGGCCTCCCAACTGACTGAGCCACCCAGGCGCCCCTAAATCTAGTTTCTTTAAGACTTTCTTATATATGTATGTGTGTATTACACTTCAGCAGGGGAGGGGCAGAGAGAGAGGGAGAGAGAGAATCCCAAGCTGGTTTAGTGTTTTCAGCGCAAAGCCCAGGGGGCTTTTCCCAGGAACTGTGAGATCGTGACCTGAGCCGAAATCAAGAATTGGATGCTCACTCAACTGAGCCACCCAGGTGCCCCAACACTTTCTTTTATGACTATTAGTTTTTGGTTTTAATTTAATGAGGTTTTTGGTTACAGAATTTTTCTTTTAAATGGCAAGTATCACTTAAAAACAGAAAAAAAACTTATTTTTAATTTCAGGTGGTACTACTTAAATAGAAAAGTTAGTATTTTGGTCAATTAAAAACATTTTATTGGGGTGCCTGGGAAATTTTATTTTTTGTTGGCCTAAGAATAAAGATTCCTTAAACCACAGCATACACAGTTATTTTTACTGTTTCAAATGTGGTACCAGTAATAATTCTAGTCTGAATTCAAATAATTAGAATGTACATGTGTGTAAGATGATTTTTCGACTGTTAATTTATGTTTATGTTTCTTATTGGCAATCAGATCTAACTTGGATATTTAAAATTGAAGTTCTGGGGGTGCCTGGCTGGCTCAGTCAGTAGAGCCTACAATTCTCTATCTCAGGGCCATCAGTTCAAGTCCCATGTTGAGCGTAGAATTTACTTAAAGATAGATAGATAGATAGATAGATAGATAGATAGATAGATAGATAGATAGATAGATAGGAGATTCCGTGTTAAGTAAAAAGTACCACTGATGGTAATATGATAGAAATCTTTATTATGATGTAGGCTTTCAAAATTTTTAAGAAATCCTGAAAATCTCAGAATATTCCCAGATTAGACACTATTTTTTCCTCCATCTTTTCACAGGTAATTTTCTTCTCTCCCATGGGTATCGGCAGCACTCATAGATTGTAATTTGAAACATTCAGAAAGCATGTACCTGAATATTGTCACATTTCTTTTTTTTAATGTTTTTATTTACTTTTGAAAGAGAGAGAACGAACATGAATGGGGGAGGGGAGAGAGAGAGAGAGAGAGAGAGGGAGACACAGAATCTGAAGCAGGCTCCAGGCTCTGAGCTGTCAGCACAGAGCCTGACGTGGGGCTCGAACTCATGAACTGCAAGATGGTGACCTAAGCAGAAGTCGGATGCTTAATTGACTGAGGCACCCAGGCACCTCTCACATTTCTTTACATTATGATTTAGTAATATTAGCCAGTTATGCCTATTAAATACAGTGAACAAAATGATATGTTTATACCATCCCCTTGTAAGCGAGGTTTTTGTGCATAATAGTAACAAATGGAATTAATGCAAACCGCAGTATTGTTGAGGAAAGACCTTTTCTTTAAATAAGCTATTCTGTTTATAAATAAACTGATTTTTTTAGCACCATAAATTTAGATACCTGATCAATAAAAAGAAACACGACATATATATAAATTTTTTTAACAAAAGTATAAAGAATTTAAAGAAATGAATCGCTATGGGAGAACTTTCCTGGGAAAGTGGGTAACAAGCAAGCAAAGGATACTAGAGTCATGACCATCCTGTTACTGGCAATTAAGGGACTTCACATCTGGGTAGAGGCTGTTGGTCAGGTGGCTATTGACCAGCTAGTCATGTCTGGTTGTTGAGTAGCCTCACCGCTCTTCCACAGAGGATAGACAACAGTGGAAACTCGCTAATGTCTGCATCCTACCTCTGTTCAGAGCCTGCTGAGTCAGCTGATAAATGGATCTAATGTTACTTTTTGCTACTGTTTGAATAGTACTGAGAAGAGCAAGACTCTTATTACATCATGGAACAGAAGAACCCTTTGGCGCTGGAGCTGGAATCTGAGGGTCTTGTGCTAAGAGGGTGCTTAGGTGGGAGGGAGTGCTTTGACATAGCAACAATCTAGTCTAGTCTGAGTCAAGTTGGGCTGTAGACTAGAAGTTTCCAATGATAAGTCTTCACTCTTCTAAAGATATGCAGATTTTCCCAAAATGAATGCGTCTGTGAGTTACAAAAAGCTTTTCTGATTAACTGTGATTATTTTGTCTTTTCGTCGTAAGTTCTAGATGAGCATGGGAAGAACGTTACGATCTGTGTGCCAGAGTTCGGCCAAGACCTGTACAGAGACGAAAACTTGGTTACTGGACTAGGTACCACTCTCTTGTTCGTGTGCATCTTATATTCATGGTAAGTCTTAGGAGATAACTTGAGACCATCCTTGCAGACTTAAAAGTGCAGAGAAAAATTTAAGTAAGTTGCAGCAAGTATGAGATAGCAAAACAAATCCCATCTGAGGAAGAGGAAAAATAGCTTGAAGCTAAAAGTTTGTATTACAGCATGGAAGCACGGTGTTTGGACTTCACTTTCCTTACTTGCATTTATATGCATAAATAAATTAGATACATAGTACATTGTAGCCATTCAGGAGACGGTTGGATATTAGTTGGCCATTCAGCCATTCAGGAGACGGTTGGATATTGGAGGGCAAGGGAATACAAAGCAGGGAAGAGATAGTATGTGCCAGAATGTTTTGGCAGCTTTCTAATCCAAGGGAGGTATCATTTGTTCTGCTGCTGATGGAAAGAATACAGAGCAGTACTTACACAGTCATTTTGTGTTTGGCCCGAGAAAGACAGGAAACGTCCCTTTTCTTTTATGCTAAAACCCACAGTGCTGTTAAAGCAGACTGTAGTTCACATGCTAGTCGTGGGGTGTGTTCCACCTTTATTTAGAATGTTTAAGGGTTTGCCCAAGGGAGAAAAGTAACAGGTAGAAATGCTTAGTTACTGATTCTGATAGGTATTTCGCTGATCACTAAGCTTCCTTTTGACAGTGACTTTTTCATGTTTAGGTTTTCCGCTTTGTTTATTACGTTTCAGTGTATAAAAATTTCAACTTGGCATAGGTACATTATGATCTTCCCTTGGCTAATAGAAATAAAATGTCTTTCTGAGAACGTTGGCACGTTCTCTTACAGCTTCTAACACTCCCTACTTTTAGAAAGGGACCGGCAGACGTTTTGAAGATGCGGGAACTGGGTCTTGAGTACTTGTTCAGTCACGCATCAAGCCATGAAATGCTTGTTTGTGTTGCAGGTGGTTGTTCCAGGGACAGTTGTGTGATACAGGTTCTTATCCTGCCCCTGACATAGTGACAGATTCTCCTTCTTGCAGCAGAAAGAACCACGGTCACCATTTCGACCTTTCATTCTTATTAATTCCATAGTTGTTCACTGAGTACGTACTACGTCCAAAGTAGTGGATGGGATTCAGGCTCAAGTTCGTGAATGTTTTCAGGAAAACCATAAAGCCAGCCAAATGCTGACTGCCAATTCTCAGCTCTCCTTTTTCTGAGTAAGCTTTTCCTTCCTGAGTCTGTCATTGAGCTTTGGGGGAAATGGCAGTAGCGTGACTAATTTCATCATTTATCACTCAGTTTTTTCTGTATTAGTATGTAAAAAAATATTGGCAAATTATGTGGGAGGAAGTAGATTACTAAAATGTAATGATAGACGGTTCCATTTCAAAAATAAAATATAGTTGGGGTGTCTGGGTGGCTCAGTAGGTTAAGCGTCTGGCTTAGGCTCAAGTACTGATCTCGTGGTCCACGGGTTTGAGCCCCATGTTGGGCTCTGTGCTGATAGTTCGGAGCCTGGAGCTTGCTTCGGATTCTGTGTTTCCCTCTCCCATCCCAGCCTGCCCCCCCGCCTTGCCCCCCCTTGCAGTCTGTCTCTCTTTCTCTCTTTCAAAAATAAATAAACATTAAAAATTTTTTTTAATACAAATGAAATATGGTTATGTTTACTTATATAGAAAAAAATCACCAAACCTATAATAGTGGTGGTATTAGAGATAACTTATTTTTGTTGTTGGTTTTGTTTTATAGGGAGGTAGCATTTCTTTTGTTTTTGTATTATTTAAAAAAACCTAGAAAGATATTTGACAGAATAAAACTCTGTGTTTGTGTGGGTTGCTGAATGCCTCATCACACATGAAAAAAGGTGTCTGCTGCTTAGATGAAACAGGGCCTAGATTTGCTATAAATCTGTCAGTGGAAAGATGGCAACAATTCTACTTAGTGTGCTGATAGAACTGCCACATGGTGTTGTTTTGCAGCATGGACTTTTCACCGTGTCAGATTTTCACTGCCACCCTTGCGTGAGAGGTGATAAATAAAACCTCACCCCTTTTGGTTGATATTCCCAAAAGATAACAATTTTCAAAGCTGACCACTGCTACTTAAAATCTGTCTGAATGCTGGTAACAAATACTCTGAATGCTAGTAACGAGACCTGATTTGGGGTGGGGGTGGGGGGCGTTAACAGCATCTCCATGAGCGGAGTGCAGAGTGACCAGGAGTGTTTGTGGGATGCAGGGCACGAACACACTCCCTGTGATGGGCAGCTACTTTTCCCAGGACTCAGTGAAGCGTCCCTCCCGAGGCTGGTGATTAGTGTTCGCTGTGAGGATCCGTGTAGCTCCAGGAGGAGTCAGCTTTGAGAACTCTCTAGCCAAGTGTCTTGGGCTCCCAGGGAAGTGAGATCAGGCCCAGTAGAGCCTCAAGTCAGGGAATGCTGCTGGGAAGGGGAGGCAGCCCAGTTTACGTTTTCGGATCTTGACTTTCTAGAGATTATGTCTCTTCCCAGACTCAGAGGAATGAGAGATTGGAAAATGTTACAAAACGAAGCTCCATTGCTTGCGTGGAAACTGTCATTTATACATGATTGCAGAAAGGGCGCCTGGGTGGCTCAGTCCATTAAGCATACAACTCTTGATTTCAGCTCAGGTCATGATCTCACGGTTCATGGGATTGAGCCCCACAACGGGCTCTGTGCTGAAGGTGTAGATTCTCTCTTCCTCTCTCTTGTCTCTTGCTG